CCTTTGATTCAACTATTATTATTTGAATCACCATAAGCGACAAAGGGCGACTATATCCGTATTCAGGGATTACGAATAATATATATACTTTAAAATATACTTACTTCAAAATTAATTTGCCTTGCCGATTGCGATATCATGCTTGACTTATTGACAAGCCTACTATATATATTATGTTCTAGAGACCTACTCTGCCTTGAAAGTCACATTTGCTCTTTAATCTACTGGCACTCTTGGCATTATGAATGTGTTTCGGATTGTTAATTTGCCGTCACAAAGCGCACGATCCGGTGAATTCCTCTGAAAGTACTGATAAGGCCTAAGTGAGGCCGATATTGCAGTCTACTTTTGGTGAGAAAATGTTTTGGAAATCCAGTTTAAGGCAACCTAAATTGCTTTCCGAGGCCTACTCATAGAATTTCAGAAATTACTACTCTATTATTCCTTAAATCTCCTTTAGCATACTGATGTGACAAAGCTTGTGTTTAAGAATTACTGGCGGTTTTCAAACACTACCTGAACATAACAAAGTCGTTTTTCAGAGTGACAAAGAGATATTCGTGCAATAAAAAAAGCCCAATTTAAAGGATAGTTATAAAAGGTATGTTCTGCCTTTAAAGTCTTATTCGTGTTGTGATCCATTGGCATCCGTGTCTGCATAATGAAGTGGTAATATGTAGGCAAAATTCGCAGGACTCGATTTCGTTTCCCATCGGAGGTGATGCAAGACCTAGGCCACATGGAGGCAAACATAAGTGAAAATCAATAAAACTAGTAAAGAAAATTCACTTAGTCCTAGATTGATTGAGTTACAATGAAATTACTCATAGACCAGGTATAGCTAGAAGGCAATTTTATTTAAAACATGGAAATATGTAATAATTATAACTCGAGTTTGAAAATATAAGAGATGGCGATTGTAAAAAAGCTTTGTTGTCTTTTGCCCTCATTAACTTTCATTTAATTTCAATAAAAATGCCATAATATAAACTTATTTCTTGGAAAAACTTGGCTTCACTATGGAAGTTAATATATACTGCCCTTCTCAAATCCAACTTAGATCAGCCCTTTAAATTTTTCTAACAAAGCGAAAAAATTATATAATTATGACATGTATTCACTCTACTTGGTTTAAGGTGATGACGGACTGATGGTAGAATTTTTCCATAATGTTATAAGAAGAGCTGACATTTCCATTGAATTTCACATAACCTTGCTTTCCCAAAAGTAGTTCTTATTCAGGGTGGACTGCAGTTTCGACCTCGCCTAGGTCTTATCAACACCCCTGCCGTGAGTCAAACCGTGACAGTGCAGCATGTGAGCTTGACACGTTCACCACTCAGCCAGATTGCCACGAATGCTCTAGGGTCACATACCAGATGTGAACTTCAAGGAAGTCCAGGTTTTTTCCATTCACATTTTTTGGTGGGATTGTCTAGGAAACCAACGTATTTTTGCTATAATACTCGACTGCATTACTTATTTTAGTAAATAAGTAGAGTTTCGAGACTACCAGTAAATCACCCTATTTTGTTTAAGGTGATGAACGGCTGGTAGTAACATTTTCCCACAATCTCATATAACTGATTTACTGGTAGTCTCGAAGCTCCACTTATATACTAAATATATGTTATGTAGTCGATTGTTATAGCAAAAATACATTTGCTTCATTGACGATCCCAACAAATAATGTGATACAGGTTAAGGCCTGGCATTCCTTGAAATTCACACCTGCCCTATGACGCTAGAACCTCGTGGCAATGTGACTGAGTCGTTTATTTGTCAAGCTCACATGTTACGCTGTCCCTGTTCGACTCCCGTTGGAGGTGCTGATAATACCAAGGTTAGGTCGAAACGACAGTCTGCTTTGAATGAGGACAACTTTTGGGAAGGTAAGATTATGTAAAATTCAATGGAAACTTCAGCTCTAATCATAGCATTGTGGAAAAATTCTACTACTAGACCTTCGCCGCCTTAAACGACAGGCTGAATGCATCTCATATAACTGGTTTACTGGTAGTCTCAAAATTCTGTACGTATAAAGAACGAGCATTCTTATCGGGCAACCAAGATTTAGGTTGCACCATGTTAGCTTGGTTTATGTGCACAATTTTTCTTGTATTTAAATATTTTGTAGAGGGACTTCTGTTATACTTATGCAATAAATACTACAGGATATTTACCTTAACACTTTCCAGAATTTGAATCAGTATTTTCATTGTGAGATACCATGGCATACACAGTGTTGATTGGCAAATTGTATTTTGAGGCTCCTTTTAATAATGATGATGGTAAAGATACTATATAGTCTATTCGAACTTTCTCACTTAAGGGTGATATGCGGAATACTTGTGATCAGTAATACGAAATGAATTATAAGTAATTCTTCAGCATCAAAATAGCTAATAATTCAAAATTTGGCCTTTATCACTTCCTGACGTGGGCGTGAAAACTATTTAAGGTAACACTTTCGGGTGATTTCAACTGCCTCCAGATTATTTCACCTAAGAGATAGTCAGAGTTAATTTCAATATTTGCATCAATCAAAAATGTATAAAAAGACAGTCACATTCCTCATCCGTTTAGACAGATTAGCTGAATCAACTCAGAACCCAGTAACACCAGGGCGCTTATAGTGAGTAAAGAAACAAAGATGAACAGCAGGTGTGATGGCGTCACACTAAACTTGCCAAAAAAGGCATATTTATTGATGTATGTAATGTAACCGAGTCAGGAGTTTTGCTAGGGCGGGAGTGCGATAAGAGGGTAAAGAGTTGATAGATGGGCCGACACAGCAAGCGGAGTGATAGCACAATCGTTTCGACAGAACTTTGTTCAAGGGATTGGCCTCACTTGCCTCTGACGATTATAGTGAGTTTAGAAACAACGTGAATAGCGGGTATGATGACGTCAGACTAAACTTGCCGACGGAGTTCCAGAGTGCTTGGGTTCTGGTTCCAGACTCTTGTTCATTAGATTTTTCCCCCAAGGATGTCAACGATCTATTAGCAAAAGAAGCTTCATGGAAAGAATTTAGACAAATATACATGTATAACTTTTATTTTGGGTTCTTATTTATTTATTCTACCTGTTTAAAATCGTATTAACTTCTCTTTTCTTGGTAGTGACTTGCAGGTACCACTTCAACTCCCTGAATATATGTCTCAAAACTCTCAGCAGCAGTCAATCATTCTCACCAGGCTCCCCTTATTCCAGGCTTGTAAGTTGCCGAAGCGACTACAGTCAGGCCGCGACAGCCCCTCTTCTAGTTCTAATCAAACCGAGGATGACGAGCTTAATGCGCTACCTGATATTTCCGCATGCCCACCAAAACCCGTCCCATCAGGCGTCGCTAGTAGTATAGAGGCTCCCGGTCTAGTAATAAGATCACCTAGTGGGCGCGCAATGAACGAAGTCGCCACAATAAGCGGTTTGGCTACTGATCACATGGTTCCTTCCCATGGACGTCCAGCCCCACCTCTCCGCTTAGACACAAGTTTTGAGGAGGAACATGAAGAAAATAAAGATGACGTAGCAGAACTATATCACAAAGATGGTAAATCTGCTGGCATGCTTTTTGATGAGATGTTAGCTACTCGGGAGGACGGAGTTCCGCAACCAACATGGCTTGAGAACAAACTCTCTGAAGTGCAGGCAAAAGAGGATGAGGAATTCATGCCTGTCAAAAGAAAGCTACGAGATGAGCTTAAACAGATTCGTAAAATGGTAAGTTAAATCCATAAATATATAATATTTACTGGGCAAGCAATTTATTTATGTATAGAAATCATTTACAGCAACAATATATAGAATAATGGCTACTTGATATAATTTTCAATAAT